ATCACTTTCGATATCGTTGATCAAACTTTTCTTAATCGACTTCACCACAATGACGCCAGTTGGGACTGGGCGTCATGGTGACGCTTCAGACAGACGTCACCTGCGAGCTTAAATATATTTTAAGCTCGCACGTAAGGATACGTTTCTAAAGAGAGCGTATCCAATCTTTGCATAATTAACCAATCAGTAGTTAAGATTATATTTAGTTTAACATAAATTAAATATAAGTCAGTCTTGAATTTACTACACACTGTCTACTACGCACGAGAAGCTGAGTAAGCTTCTGCCTGACTTAAGTAGGACACTTGTTAGTTGTTCGTTACACGGTTCGCTTTAAGCGACCGGAAACGGTTGATACTGCTCTTAAAGCGCCTACCAGCACCACCACCACCGCACGCGGAGGTAAGACGGTTGAACCGCCTCCTCGCGCTGCTCGAAGGTGTGCCCGCGTAGTACGTGGCAGCTTCTTTACGAAGTGCCCGTCTACAACAATACCACTGAAATGGACTGTTTGGGAGCGACACAGAGTCCACCTGCGCAAAAAAGTCATTTCACGCTACCATCATTGCTACCTACGACCTGGAAGTGGATGTCGCTGCTATCGCAGGTAACGCACCCCTTCCAATCTGACCGGGTTCTAGGCTCTGTGCAGGACCATTGGACGCATGACTACTTGTTATCTACCTATTCAATAGGCTAGTTTATTTAAGCTCGGTAGGACTTGTGTCATGTTAGGCCAATTTCGCTACACCAAGCTCAACGGAATGGGTAGTATTTAGTGACGTATGAGATACCGTCAACGCGCTATCATCTGTGTCTGACACAGCATCAGTCACATAGGCCTCTCCCAGGAGCACATTCTGTCCAGTTTCTTCCGTAAAGCTAGCGACTATGCGTGTACGCCAGTCTAACCATGGTGTAACCGAGGCATGCATAGAATGAGGTCATACGGACTTTCCATAACTAGCACCGTAAACTTCTTTCTACAAGAGTAGTCACTGAGCTGAAGGCGAGTTCATTGAACTTTTTCCGATCTTACGAGCACGCTGTTTACTAAAGAACGATCGCCGCTTTTCACTTGCCATCCTGGCAAAACGACTTGTAACTTGTCAAACTCTTATTATGAGCTAAGAGGCTTTGAAAGATGTATTTGTGGTGAAGGGGGTGCTTTAAATTGTATGATAAGACTCCAAACCACTCACTGTGCCGGACTGCCGACTGTCGGAGCGTGTACTACTGGAAAATCCTTTATCGATGCATCTACACCCTACGTTCTACGTCGGTCGTCTCAAGCATTACTGACCGGCGGTCCTCCCGTCGACGACTGATCCGATTCAGGTGCATAACGCGGTTCCTGATAACGTGGAGGTCTTGGCGGATCGGGCTGGCGCAGTCTGTGCAGCTCCGCGTTGTCCCGTCGAAGAGCAGCATGTGACTGCTCCAAACGCTCAAGTCGCCGAATGAACCCAGCAATCGCAAAAGAATCCTCCTCCACGAGACACTCCGCATCCTCAGCCAGCTTCCGTGCTTGACTCGCATCATGGTCTACGAACTTTACTCGCCGATCAACCTCATGGAGCTGCGCCACGACCGAAGGAGTCGGCACCGGTCGTTCAGACTCCAGGTCCTCACGCTATGCTTCAGCGCGACGGTCTACCCCCGCTGGTTAAAGCGCTGAAAATCGACGTTGGTTGGTGGAAAGAACTTGGAGCATCGTGACCCGCCTCACATTGTTCATGGCGCTGCCCGCGCTCAGACAAACGTCGTTCCGGAAATGTGACATTACCGCGTTTGCTGGCTCGGTTTTCCTCCGAATAGAGATACGTGGGAACCTCGCACAACACTTCTCGCGGATATTTCCGGATATCGTAAGCGACTACGACCGGGAGGTGAGCGGGGCCGCGAGCGCCGAGCAGCTCGCGATATTGGAGGACTCGCTGATCGAGGACGCCGCGCAGGTCGCGATGTTGAAACCCTTGCGGTTCGAGAGCGAGTTCTTGGGGTCAGTGCAGACTTTTGACTCACTTCCACGTTCATTCGAGTCCACCCATGTGCTCGTTGGTGTTCATCACGCACTTGCTCATACCTTCAAACCCACGTGCGCTCCTCCCTTAAAAAAACGGACAAGCACCAAGAATAGTAATTTGCTGAGCGAGGATTGAGTGCGACAAAAAACAGAAAGGAATCCGACTCAATTAATCCACGGCATCATCAGGCGTTCGCAGACAAGTATGGCCACGAACAACACCACTGGAACTACTCCATCAAGGCAAACGAGAAACGATGGTGAGCAAATCCTGGCATTGTGGTGCCCAACCATCGGCGAACCTATGCGGAGAGTCTTCGCGTCTGGGAGCAGTACAACTGCAGCTCAAATGAACGTTCGCGTAGCGATGAAGAGATGTGCCAGATGTGGAGACGATGGAGGCGTACTCGGTGAAAACCGACTTCGGCTACATATGCCATAAGACAAGCTTCACTGGACGAGTCTATGACCGCATTCGTCCGCCGGTGTAACAACGAGACGCCTTTCGCCGAACTCGTACCGTTACGCAAAGAGCAGCGTCGTCGTTATGGGCTCGCAGAGACCCGCGAGATGGTATGTGAGTTGTCGTGGGCCGCGGACCGTCCTTCTTGCTGTGTGCACTGGCGAGAACGTTGTCATCATTGCGAGTGTCACGGTGTAGCGCGGTCAAGAGAGTGTGCTATTTTGTGTAGGGGTAGTGTTACAGGGTGTATCGTTACACAATTAGCCATAGTTTGCATAATTAGTTATATGCTACACCCGAAATAGCGGGTGTAGCCATTCGTATCTCTATTCGCAGGTAAGTGAGAATCAGTCTCATTATCCCAATAGAAGAGAGATCTGTAGTTGAGTAGTTTCCATGCGTTAAGGGACCACTCGTACTTAGCATAAAACACAAAGCAATAACAATCAGAGATATAACCTTAAGCGCGCTAATTTTGCGCGCTCCCTTACGCTTCTCGTAAGACCATAGTGTGTGCAAGTAACGAAGCTCTAGCCCTGTTACAGGTGAGGTCGCGCATGATCTCCTTACACTTGACGTAATAAATCCTGCGACCAAGTCGGGCGGATCTCGCGCCGTCTGGCCGTATTCCAGATCCATTCCCACTGGGGGCAGGCCAATCATTGTCGTGGAGCAGCCTCCCTTCCGCGTCATATTTACATCCCCTCAGCGATATCGCTGGCTTCCATCCCTGTCGGCCGTCGGGAAAAAGACGCACGTAGTGGAGCGACGTGTAGACGGAGTGCAATGCTGAAATGCGCTGCAAGCGCCCGTCGCGGCTCTCGCGGACAATGTCACGAATAGAGATGCTGCCGTCGTATCCGTCTCACACCAATTTTATTATATATATTGATTTGGGTATATAGTACGTGGACAATATTACATAGTTTCTAATATCGATATAGATTGTTTCATATAAAAAATATAGCACGATGTACGGACGGACGAACAACATTTTGTTATTTTATAGATAGAAAATGCAGCGATGCTTTCAACGTAGCTTAATGCGCTCGACCTCGGAGGTCGGTCACAACTAGAGGTGGTACCCATGAGTCTGGGCTGGGTAATTGCGTTTACCCACGACTCAGACTCATTCAAATTTCATTACCCACGACTTGGACTCATACCCGCGGGTAATTACCCATGTTACCCGCGCAATAAACATGCGGACTATTAAATAATATGGAAGGGAGAAAAGCATAATGAAAATTGATAATATAAGTATCCACACTCTACGTCTCCCACTGGGAAGTTCAAGCGAGCTGACAAAGGAAAAACTAGTCCCTTGCCGACAAAATAACGTGACCCTGTGTCCTTATCCAATCCTTGAAGTACAGAAGCCTCTCCAAGCTTTTGAGGGGAAAGCGAAGTTCTGTTGTACCTGTAAGTCTTTTTACCTTGAGAGAAACCTCTCTCAGACGGAGTTGAAGACGCGGGGATGGCCAGATAAAATCTTGCCATCCTTGCAAGTGTCGGGAATTGCAGCTGATGCAGTGCTCACCACTCCAATGGCAATTAGTGTATGGAACAGGCGAAAGAGCAAAATAATTTTGAGCTATTTTCCTCAACTTTGCTCACTGCGGTCTTAGAACTCTGCCTTCAACAAATGCGAAGACGTCTGGCTCCATGTCGTCATCGCTCATGCGTTACTAATGTTGACAGGTGGCGGAGGCGGGTTTTTTTCTAATGACTTCTGATGACTGTATGCTGCATCCACAAAAAGCAACTCAATATGCTTGTGGGCTATGGCCAAGAGCCCAAAATTGCTTTGGCCCTTCGTCGAGGTTTTTGAACCAGCTGATATTCCATCTTGGATCTAACACCGTTGCAAAGAAGTTTGCATCCTGTTTAAACGCCAGCTTGATATATATTTCTTGAGTTTGCTTAGCATGGCCTGCGCCACCGGCTCCAGTTGCTTTGCATCATATGTGCGGTAGACTTTCACCAAAAAGGTGTAATGAGTCACCAATACATTTAACAATTATATAAATAATACGAGCAGGTGTGTCTGATGTATGTATGCCTTATAAATTTGGTACATTTACCCATGGGTACCCATGGGTAAGGTGGTTAATTAAAGCCAATTACCCATACCCAACCCATGAGTCTGGGTATGGGTAATTACCCACTGAGTCTGGGTATGGGTAATTACCCACTGAGTCTGAGTCTGGGTACCACCTCTAGTCACAACGTGACATTTAGACCAGATGGTTATCGGGAATGATCTACCTGAGTGCAAAATTTTTACAACGGCGAGAGATAAGCAACATCGATTACGAGCAGTCAACCGGTTCGCAACAGGTCGAAATGGCTTGAGGTATAGTGTAAAGGAGGGTACAAAACCCGATTCCTAAAATCGTCAGATTGTTTTACTAGCATCCGGCTCTGAACGATATCTTCATTAACTACTCTCACAACACATTTTCCTCGATCATCGTCGCAAGCGAAGGCCTCATCCCAACCTTTTTTCACATGTCAAACTGTAAGAACAAGATGGCTCTTGTAATTGGAGTTACGGCTTTGTTTATCGGTAGTGCAAACGCACACGCGTATATGACGGTGCCTAAAGTGAAATGGCTTCCAACGCTAAACGACCAGACTGCGTTTGTTGTTGCGATCCAGTCTGCAGAAACAGGTTGGACGGGGCCATTTAACGGACCACCAGCAGATAACACCAGACTTTTCTGGAATGGCTTTAAGAAGAGCAAATTCAAAGACATTCGGGAATTCGTGGAAGTAATGGGAAAAGTTTCGGTCGCTGGTGCCACTATGAAATGTGGACAAACCGATCCGAACGCGCCACCTCAGCCACTTCCAGACATGCTGGAGTGGACAGGCTTTACTGGATCACACGAAGGTCCATGCGTAGCCTATTGTGACGACTTTATCGTATTTGAAGACACAGACTGCGCAGCCCATTTCAATATGACCCCAGCTGTAATGCCCTACAAGAAGGAACTCTGCATAGAGGCGAGTATCCTGAGATTCCTTTGGATAGCTCTGCATGGACTCGAATGGCAAGTTTACATCAACTGCGCCCCGCTTAAACATGGCAAAGGTGGGACCACTCCGAAGGTCAAAATTCCTCCATCCACTCCTTTTGCTGAACCTACAGCTCCTCCATCCACTCCTTCTGCTGAACCCACAACTCCTCCATCCACTCCTCCTACTGAACCCACAACTACTCCATCCACTCCTTCTCCTGAACCCAAACTCCTCCATCCACTCCTCCTACTGAACCCACAACTCCTCCATCCACTCCTCCTACTGAAGCCCAAACTCCTCCATCCACCCCTCCTGCCGATCCCCCAGCCACGAAATCCAATAACGAGAAGTGCGTCCGTCGCCGCACCCTCGATTAGTCGTCGCTTCGTCAGCGTTGCCTTGCCATGGTGCATGTGTACGTTTGTCAGTATCATACACAGTAAGGTACTGATTGCCACTTAAATGTCATGAAGAAGTAATACCCCGAGCAAGTTTTTCGGTTTAAGTCTACTCAGTTTTGAGGAGTGTGAGCTAGCTAGTAAATGATGAACCTTGGGAAATAAATTCTACAGTATAGATCCAATTTTCGTATTGTCTGTGCAAGTTCATCAGCATCAACTTTGATAACAAACCAAGTTTCAATAGCTGTCAACGCGACTTGAATGTTAACAAGGACGACAAATAGATTAATGATTTTATAGACGCATCATCTGCTTACCATCGACTTTAAGCATTAACGAGGATACATGTACATGCACTACTACTATCGACCTATTAGTAGCTCTAATGAAAGCAATAGGGCCAGAGACTAGTGCTTTGCTCGCCGACATCTCGTCGTTTGTATTGCCACTATGTAATAAATACTCGATGCTGGGTAGTTAGATCACCTCCTTTCGCATGTAGATTTCAATCGAACGCATGCACAGTACTTGATTTGTGAAAAAGTGACGGGCAAAAACAAAAGTGCAAGAGCGAACGAAAAGGGCATTGGTTTGTCTCAACCATCACGACAGCGTGTCTTGTCATCTTTACAAACTACAAGCGAGCTGTGCCATGCATTCATTTATAACGAGCTTCAATAACAAGAGTGAAAAGCCGATATCTTTCGATTTCGTCATTATACTCGCCCGCTATCTCAATCATGAGCACGACCAAGGTGTGTTAAGATACATGCAGCTCGTTGGGTGGTAGCAGAGATGGTAGACCAATCTAGTACTACAAACTTTTGGTGATGACATGACTGACGCTGTCGTACTATCCTATATTCTACCGCCGTTTCAACAGCACTATAATAAAACTTTTGTTTACATCAAGCACAGACGAGGTCGGACATCTTCATCTGAACATCGATATGCGTTCTCTTGTGGCAGTTTGTGTTGATTAAAGATGATGCGTCTTGTATTTATTGAAGAGTCTACCGCTTAGTGAGAGCACAGCTGTGCTAGTCATACAAAAGTGTCGTTTTTTTTTGTAGGTCCAGCCGATTCTTTTCGTTCTTCGTACGACCTGTTACTGTCCTCTTCGGCAGAGGCGTACACATCCCTTACCGGTCATGGCTATCGTGCCACGCGACGGGCAGTTCTGACGGATCTTCGGGGCACCAGCTAGTCCGGATAGCCCCAACAATTCGTTGTTGGGGTTTCAGCTTTATCAAGAGGCCTTACCAGGGTTCCCGAGTGAGACTAGTGTGTACCTTGGTTTGGTTGACGGGGGATTTGGACCGGCGTCACTTACGACGCGGTCGATGCTTACCAAAGGCACCCCTAAAAATGTCGGGGGGTTGTGACGATGAGTAATTTTCCTTGTGCTGTTGTGAGCAACAGCTGATGTCGCAGAAACATGCTGTAAAATGATAGCATGTAGGATAAGCTGAAACGAGTCTGGCTTCGAGCTGCAAAAGCTTATTAAATAATTGGCGCTGTTGAACAAAGAAAGAAAATGAAGCTATTAGTTGTCGTTTCAATGGTTGCAGCCTTTGGCTGTAGCCAAACTTCTGCCCACGGATTCCTCTGCCTTTGGCTAAGTTCAATCAATCTGTCGACATAACGGATTTCTCAGCGACTATCGCTAGCCTCAAAGTATTCCCTAAGGGATCGTTTGGTTCCAGCCCAGAAAATAATGTCAAGTCTTTTGTAGAAAATTTCAAGAAGTCCAAGTACAAAAGCTTGAGGGACCTCATTGACGAAAATATGGTGCCCAAGCCCGGTTCTACACGTACCTGTGGCTTTACAATTCCAGAGGAAACCAGTTATGGTGCACTGAATGACACAGTGTATTGGGGTAGAAGTCCAGATATCACTCAAGACGTAGGTTTTAATCACCCGGGACCATGCGAAGCGTGGTGCGACGGGAACCGAGTTCAACAGGATATGACATGCGATCTGACTTATGCTGCCGCTTCGGGCGCATCTCCTGTCCCGATCGACGTTTCGCTTTGCATAGACGCCAAGACTTTTACTATCTTCTGGATTGCTATGCATGGCGAGCTTTGGCAAGTTTACAGTAAGTCTGACTACTTTAAAGAGCTCTATGTTTGCAATGAAAACTTGACTAACTATACTGGTACCATCTATAGTTAACTGCGTCAGCATCAACGTTGAAATCGGAACTGTGGATTCCAGCGTTTCGACGAAGACAAAACCGGCTCCGATTACCTCTAAAACCACGCCAACGGTCCCACAGGCGACACCATCGACTTCATATGAAGATCAAAATCAAGATCAAAATCAAGATCAAAATCAAGATCAAGATCAAGATCAAGGAACCACACCAGCGGCGTCACCGGCAAGTCAAGACAGCGGTAAGGAAGCCACTTCGGACACTCCTGAAGTTAAGGTATCGAGTGTCCCAGCACCGACACCTACTCCTGCACCAAAACCAAGTACCGAAACCAGCGATGTGAATGATACCCCAACAAGTCCGAAGTGCTCTCGTCGCCGCATCCGCAAGTAGACGCAACATTATCAAAATGTTGCTTTACCACGTAAGACACTCATTTGGTGTGGCCACTGTCTATTGCCTACATGATATCGACGCTCATAAAAAGCAAGAATTAAATCTTGATGCGTACACCACAGCGTTTCGGTGTCGGAATTCATATTGTCAATACTATTGTTGTACATAAACTCTCTTTGTTCTCGTTGTTGTTAATGTTAATGCTGCCGAAGTTTTCATTGTTTGAAGATGCTCACACCAACACATAAAAAATTAATGCACTCTTTATCATTACCCCCCCCCCCCGACACTTAGTACGAATAAAACAGCTGTGCTTTCACGAAGCGGTAGCATCTTCAATAAGTCAAGACGCATCACCTTCAATCAACACACACTGCCGCAATGTTGCGGAGCTATACAGCTCTTTAGCCAGAGGAAGACTTTCGGCTGGAAGCCTCTTAGTTCTAGAGAACTAAATAGAGTGAAGGCTAAAAGCCACTTAGTTCTAAGGAACTAATTAAACGACTTAAAGTCACCCTGTTCTAAGGAAATAGGAAAGAGACTTTTAGTCAATAAAGCAATATGCTTAAGGTTCAGAGAACCAACGCACAGAGTGCAAGAACAAGCTAGAAGCTTAGGGGTTCAGAAAACCAACGCACAGAGTGCACAAGAGAGCAAGTCAGAACGACTTGCGATCTTAAACTCAAAAGGAGAACTGATTATATTTATGCTTTAAGATTTCATGAATAGTCCTACTCTAAGTACACTACACTAGATTAATTACTATAATAGTAATTATTATATGCAGACTTTGCTATTGGACGACGTATCGTCTAAACATCTGTGTATGATGTACTTAATACAGCGTTAGAAATTTATCGAATCCCAATCGATAAGATACGGTATTACCGAATACCGTATTATAACGCTCATACTTAATACCTCTCTAAAGAGAAGTATAATAATGCATTATATGCAATAGAAAGGAGAGTTCAAGCGTAAACTCTCGGAAAGACGCTACAACCGTCGTGTAACCCCGTTACACCCTCCCCCACCAGACTGACGTTCCCATAGAATGTCACTCGACATTTTTCCTCTTAGAGGTAGTGCTTTAGCGAACGCTTAAAACCTCACGGTTTTGTTCACGGCACACAACATGACGCCTCCCGGCAGTGAGTCACAGACTCTTAGGGACCTTATTGAGGACGACCTTGACGAAGCGGTTGATTACGAAAGTGACACCGTCTTTGTGGGACCCGATGGGTCCCCTTTAGCCACCCTCACGGGTGAAGATGACACTCGTCATGCACCGAATCCGTTTCCTGAACGTGGTGCAGCAGATGCGCTAACAGCGTTACGTGACCCGCCTGACGTATCATCAACGGTAACGGTTACCAATCCACTCGACGAGCAGCAACAGCGGTCCATCGACCAAGAGGAAGGCGCCAAGCGCCGAACGAAGAACATGACGCGGCTGCAGGACCACCGACAGTACAGGTTCAAGCCACCTACGGTGGAAGAACGTCTAAAGGAAGCATCTGGGCATTCCCTTTCTGGTTGGACCATTGGGCCTGAGGCCATTTCACCTGAGGATGTTGCCACACGCACGGCACTTCGACAACGATATCTGGAGCCCCATATCACTACTCAAAGCCAATACTTGGCACGCCTTAATAGGCAAGTGCGCGGTGCGCCAGTTCCTCCGATGAAGGGTGTTCCCATCCTTCTGTTCGCGGGGGAAACCGAGGAAGAAGAAGACACGGCTTTCAGCCGCTGGGCGCATTATGCGCGACGTTTAAGCAGCATGTGGGCCCTACGGGCAAGTGCCGATGTGGCAGATGTTCGACTTGAGCGGAAGATGCGTTATGATTACGCTAAATTGAAGGCCCGGGGGAAATTGAAATCCCAACGAACGCATTATGCGCCTGCTGCCCAGCAGCCCAATGTTTCGGCTACCCCTGCAGCCGCAAGTTCACGACAGCCCGAGGCCGCTAACCCGCCTACCCTCACCCTTACTGGTGAGAAGCGTCAGCGCCAACAGACAGACCCTGCGCACGACGCTCAAAAACGTCCACGGCGTACGGGCAATCCTGCCGAAGGGGAGTCTCAAATTCCCATGAATTACATGATTCGGGATAACCCCGCCATTTCACCAGATACTGGTTTTGACCATGGCGGCGACGCTTCTGCAGTAGACGCTCCACATGGAACTGCAGGTTCCCCTGCGCATCGAGCAAAGGAGGAGGAGGTCGGTGTATCGGAACAAGCTCATGCCGAGCTTGTTCAGGAGGTGCGGACCCTTCGTGAGGAGAGGCAGACGATGAACTCCCGGCTTGAGTCCCTAGAAGAGAGTCGGACCCGAATGCAGGGTCAACTTGACTTGTTGGTGCAGATGCTCCGTCCCGCGACAATGCCAATGGGCCCGGCGCGAGCGCCTTAGCGTCTATTTGGGACGGATCCCGATAAGGTTTCAACATGGCGACATAGAACACAGGATGTGTACGCAATTTGCGCGGCAAGTTAAGCGTATACGCTGTGCCTTTCTTGGCAATGACCTTAAAGGGTCCGATAAAGCGCGGGCGCAACTTCGTCTTAAAGACAGCGGATATTACATTGGTAGGTAGATTTTTAGCATTTAATAATACTTGGTCCCCGACCTCATAAGCATTAATACAACCTCTGCCTTTCGCATCTGCATATTCTTTTTGTTTATCTTGACTATCAGCCATTGCATCTTGCACATGTCGTAAGACATTTAGTCGCGTTGGGAGAAACGCATTCACCTGCTTCTTAACAGTATGAGGGCTGACATCAGCAAGCCTATCGGCAACCTCACCCCCACCAAGCCCTGAACCACTCGGTGGTAGCGTTAACGGAACGCGTGGATGTGTAAGACCATTCACATAGAACGGAGTGTAGCCGGTAGAGGCGTGCACGGAGTTATTGAGAGCAAACTCAACTACAGGGAGCATAGCGCTCCAACGCTTAGGCGTTTCAGCACAAACGCTGCGTAGGATATCTTCAACAACGCGATTTACGCGTTCAGTTTGACCATCGGTCTGCGGATGATCCGCTGTGGACATGTCCAAACGAGTGCCCAGCACCTGGAAGACGGACTTCCAAAATTTACTCGTAAAACGCGGATCACGATCAGAAACAATTGCCACTGGCAAGCCATGTTGGCGAAACACCCGATCGATAAACAGCTCCGCTGTACCCATACCATCGATCGAATCTGGCACAGCCGCTAAGTGAGCCATCTTGCTCAAACGGTCAACAAAGACCACAATACCTGTATTGCCATGCGAATCTTTCGGTAGGCCAAATACAAAGTCCATACTAATGGACTCCCAGCACCCAGTGAGAATAGGCAAGCTAGCCAGCGGCGCTGCCGAATGGGGCGAGGGTTTCACCCGTTGACACGTTTGACACGTGCGCACATATGTACTCACCCATTTGTATAATTTGGGCCACCAATATCTCTTCATACTGCCCCATAGGTCTTTTCGCGACCCAAATGACCACCGATGGCGGTGTCATGTACCTCATAGAGGATACGATACTTCAGGTCCTTATCATGAGGAACTACATACGCGGAGGATTCGCTACATCTGTACGATAGTACAACAGCCTCTGATCGATAGAATATCGATGGAGGCTCGCACGTAATCGTGCCGACAATTTAATGTCCGAGTCTTTAAACTCCTCACTGCCAAGAGCATGTAGCAACGCTATACAGTGATCATCTTTAGCATACGCCGTACGAATAAGATCTCTGATAGAAGACGAAAACGTCGTCACATGAGCAAGCTCATAATCAGGTCTGCGTGACAACGCATCAGTCAAAGCATTTTGCTTGCCCGGCTTATATTTCACCTCAAAATTATATTCGGCAAAGAATGACAGCCATCTGGCCATTCTCTGCGAGAGATGCGGCGACTGAGTCGCAGTGCGTAACGACGCATGATCGGTATAGATCACAAAAGGCTTTGAGCCCAGCAGATGAACTCTGAATTTGACCAGGGCATACTTCATCGCAAGTAGCTCTTTGTCATGAACTGGATAGTTCTTTTCTGCAGCTTTCAGCTGGCGAGATTCAAAAGCGATCACACGCTCACGGCCTTCATCATCTGATTGTAACAGAGCACTGCCAATGGCAAAATCCGATGCGTCACAGACGACGCTAAACGGTCGGTCAGGGTCTGACAAAGCCAAAATAGGAGCATGTAGAAGGCTCGCCTTCACCGCTTGAAAAGCATCTTCGTATTGAGCATGCCAACACCATTCCACATCCTTTTTAAGGAGATTGGATAACGGCCGAGCCATATCAGCGTAATTCTCGCTATACTTGTGTAAGTAATTGGCAAGGCCAAGCCATTTACGCAAGTCCTTCTGAGACTGTGGAACAGGCCAATCGACTATGGCTTTGACTTTGGCGGGATCCGCTCGTAGGCCCCGCTTCCCAATGAAGCACCCTAGAAAGGGAATCTCTTCGGCCCCGAAGATGCACTTAGATGCATTAGCATATAATTTATTAGTGCGCATGCACTCGAGCACTGCTCGTAAATGAACAATATGGTTCTCAATATCTGACCGCCCATGTTCAGCTCGGCTATGGACAAAAATGTCATTAAAATACGTCTGTGCATAACTTCGATGGGGTCGAAACAATTGCGTCACCAAACGGTTAAACGTAGCCGGAGCATTAGATATCCCCTGGGGCATCACTAACCACTCCCAGAGCATACCGCTCGGAAAACTAACAGCAGTAAGCGGAATATCGCTAGCTCGCATGAGCAATTGGTAATAACCATCGACTAAGTCGAGCGCACTGTACATGGTACAACCGACCATATTGTTCTGAAGAACATCTTTTCTAGGTATCGGTGTCTGTGCAGGTAAAGTGGCCGCATTGAGCTTATTATAAGCATGAACAATACGCCATTTACCATTTGGTTTCTTAACACAGAAGTGGGTGTCGAGTGCGGAGATTTACTTTCACGCACCATGCCCGCCGC